TTTCCTAGGGGGTGTAGTTCCCTGTACTTCCCCCCCCCCTCCCCCCGCTCAGCTTCAGGAGTTGATTGTGGTGCTCAGGCACCGGATCCCCAGGCCTGGTTCTGGCTTCCGGTCCCCGGCCTGGGGCACACCAGCTGGACTTGTGCTGCTGTGTATCCCGTAAGGCATTTTTTACATAAATAATAAAATGTGCCTTAATGCCAGAGAGATGTAAATGATAGAGGAGAGTGTTCAGAGAGATGCCAGTTACCCCCAGATTTAGAGCAAGAAGCTGGCAAAGAGAAGGGTGTATGATATGCTTGAGAATGCAGAATTAGTGAGGTGTTGGGTTCTGATCACTTGTTTGTGAAGCCCACGTGTATTTTTACTGCGTGACAGTCTTCCACAAAATGGTGAACCATGGAGTATGGAGTCATCAAGTTGGTATTGTAAAAGCTTTAGAGAGGTGATTTTGGAGCTTGGTTTAGGATCAAGAGCAAGATTTTCATCAACAGAAGAAATGAAATTGGGTATGGTTTAACTTGCCTTTTTTGTTACCTACTACAACTGATGACCCATGTCTGCCTTTACTAATACATGTCTCGTACCTAAGTACTTACATCTTTGAGACGCCTCAGTTTCCAAAGTTGCCTATATTTAAGAATCACATTTCACGGAGATTATGATTCTTAATAGCTGTAGAAGAACCACAGTGTAAGATGTGAGTTCAATTATCTTCTGCTTAGATGGTACTCTTTTCAGTGACAGTTTATTTTTTCTGTTCAATTTACATTATTTCCCAAGTCATGACTAAACAATTGAAACCAATACCTTAAGTTTGTCACAAAAATTTAACTATTGCATTAGTTTTTTTTGTCAGTCGTGGGGCTTGAACTCGGCCTGTGCTTCAACTCTTCAGCTCAACACTAGTGCTCTACCACTTGAGCCACAGCTCCACTAACACTTATGGTGGGTTAATTGGAAATACAAGTCTCACAGACTTTCCTGTCCAGGCTGGCTTTGAACTGTGATCCTTAGATCTCAGCCTACTGAGTAGTTAGAGTTACAGGTGTGAGCAACTGGCACCCACTGTTAACTTGTTCTTACAGCGATCCATACATCTGTAGGTTAACGTCATATTTAACATAATGTAATGAAGTAAGCATGATGTATCATGGTTAGTGAATATAGGATCTCGTGTATGTCCTGCTTTTTAAAGAATATTTTCAAACTTCAAATTATTAGGGTGAAGTTAACATTTGAGTAGTAAATGGTTTTTTTCACTACAAAAGGAAGCACCAACAGAAACAATAGCTAATATTGAATGTGTGCAGTGTGCAGGGCATTATTAAAAGCATTTCCACTCACTAGTTCATTTCCTTTCCATTAGAACCATACTTCTGTGCCCCTTATTTCACAAATCAGGAAAGTATAGCCTAGAGATGTACTGAGGCTGGATATTGAAAGTGGACAGCTGGCCTCCATAAACTGTGATACATCCTATTCTGTAATGCTTGTGCTGTATATTGTCAGTGTTTTAGAAATTTTGTTACTAGATAACAGGTTAGTTGTCCATTTTAAGAGATTCTGAGCTCATCTAATTTTTGGAAGAAATGAGTCTGTTTCAGTCTAAAGGACTTGTACTTAAAAAATAAAGTGTTAGTGGCTCACACTTGTAATACTAGCGCCTCAGGAGGCAAAGATCTGAGGATCGCAGTTGAAAGCCAGCCCTGTCAGGAAAGTCCAAGGGACTCTAATCTCCACTTAACCACAAAAAGCTGAAATTAGAGGTATGGCTCAAATGGTAGAGTACTACTCTTCAACCAAAGAGCTCGCGGACAGTGCCCAGGCCCAGAGTGCAAGCCCAGTACTGGCACATACACACAAAAGTTAAGATGGGTGTGGTAGTGTTACGTGCCTGTAATGCCATCTCTAGAGGCTGAGGCAGGAGGATTGCAAATTCAGTATTCAATTTCCCTAATATTGTTGAGAGGCATAGAAGTAGAGAAATAAAAATACATCTCATCAATCCTTTCTTTTTCAGCAGCCACCAAAAAAGACCTCTAAAAGAGAAAAACCTAAACCAAAAGCTACACCTAAAAGTAAAAAGTCTGTGAAAAGTGCTAATGTTAAGAAGGCAGATAGCAGCACTACTAAGAAGAATCAAAACAGTTCGAAGAAAGGTATGTTGTGACACTTGCTGGGCTGGAGTGAGACTCAGTTTGCTTAGCAAACATAAGGGCTTGAGTTCCAATACCAGTATTGCTAAAAATACATCAGCAGTTTAAAATACTATATATGCTTAAATATGTGCGGAAACAGTGAATTTCAAGAACATTGAATGGAAGCATGCCAGATTTTAAAAATCCTTCGAAGTAATCTATTTTTCAATGCATGTTTTGGGAAATTTGTTTTTAAAGTTATTTTAAATAGTGATTTATAATGGGGAGTAGTATCTTAATATTCACTTGAGAATGAGAGTTTATGTTCTTAGTTTTTGTTATTTAAGAAAAATTTTTATTCACATTTAATATCTTTTAGAAAGTGAATCTGAGGATAGTTCAGATGATGAACCTTTAATTAAAAAATTGAAGAAACCACCTACAGATGAAGAGCTAAAGGAAACAGTCAAGAAATTATTGGCCAATGCTAACTTGGAAGAAGTCACAATGAAGCAGATTTGTAAAGAGGTAATTAAATGTTTCGATCGTATTATTTTGCCTTGGAAGTTTTTCACCCATTCTTTGATATGACGCTACATTTTGCATATTCATTAAATATTTGCTAAACTACTACATGTCAAGTCACTCTTACAGTTGCCAGGGTACCACCTGAAATGGTCATAGTCTCAACTTAATGGAATTCTTTTATGAACATTAGATTGAATAAAGTAGGGATGAACAAAATTTAAACGAATGTATTTCAAACCCCATAGGAATCTTTTTTTTCAGATCTGGAAACTTGTTCTTGCATAACAGGCAGTTAGGTACCCTTAATAGCCCAACTTCTGCATTTTGCTAGTTAATTGGGGATAAGAATCTCATGGACTCTCCTGCCTGGGCAGCCTTTGGACTATCCTCAGATCTCAACCTCCTGAGTAATTAGATTACAGGCATGAGCTACCAGTATCTAGCTCTTCACATTTTTTCTCTACAGATAGGATCTTGCTTACTGTCCAAGCATGCATCTGGGCAAGAGCCAGTTACTTTAGGCCTTTTTAGGGGGGGTGGTAGGGCTTGAACTCAGCCAGGGCACTGTCCCTGAGCTCTTTTGGCTCAAGGCTCACCACAGCTCCGTTTCTGGTTTATTGGTGGTTACTTGGAGAGAAGAATATCAGAGATCTCAGCCTCCCAAATAGCCACCAGTGTCTGGCTACTTTGGCTTCGTGATAACTAGGTAACAGGTGAAAAAGTGTCTTGGCTGGCCTGAAACTGATCCAAACAACCTTTAGCCTCTTGGGTAGTTAAGACTGCAAGCTCAAGCCATGGGTACCTGGTCTAATCTGAAAAGTTGATTGCATCCTTAGATTTTATAGAGAGAGAGAGAGAGAGAGAGAATGCACCTTTCCTCTTGGTAATAGGGTAGCTGTTATTCAGGAATTTCTTAATTGATGCTCTTGTAAAGGCCTTCTAATTGATTACAGAATATGATTTTTAAATGAATTTTTAATATTTCTTTTACTATAGGTATATGAAAATTATCCTGCTTATGATTTAACTGAGAGAAAAGACTTCATTAAAACAACTGTAAAAGAGGTATTTGTTTTCCTAGCATAAATATTTTGGATGTAGAAAACAAAAATAATGCATCTTAACTATTTTCAAAGTACTATATCTGATCCTAAGATTTCTTTAATAGTAAATGTGTAGATACATTTAGTAAAGCTCAGAGTCAGTGACAGAAACTGAGCTCAGATTAGATTGGGTACCTGGTGAGTTGGTATCTCCTTAGGCAGGCAACAGCTTGAGGGCCACTTCCTGACCAGCAGTAGCTATAGTTCTGTGTAATCCCAGCTGCTTTCCCAAGGCCAGTAGTAAGATGTGAAGAAATGGAATAAGCTTTTATGGTTTGTGTGTACTTGATAGTATTTGCTGTATATGGTAAAATAGTGTTTCTTTTTCTTTACAGCTAATTTCTTGAGAACAGCTGACTTGTTCCTTTAGATTTGAAGATCTGATTTATAAACCATTATACCAGCAAAGAGAATGTATCTCCTTTTCTAAATCCTTGTAAGATGTGTTGACCTTTTTATTGTTACATATATTTGAGTTTGCTGTTTTAAATTGCATTTCTATGCAGTTTTTAGTCTAAAATCTTGCATGGCATTAATTGTTCCTTGCTTTTATAGCTGTATTTTGTACATTTTGGATTTCTCTATATAAGGTTATAGATTGCTGAACCGTTGTGGGTTTTAGTGCACTAACGTTGGCTTGCTTAAGATGTAACTTTTAATCACGTAGAACAAAGGTTAGTATAACTGGCATTTATACATGCAGAGACTGTTGCAGTATTTAGTATAGGAAATACTTTGAATACACCTCGTCTGTCAGCGTGGAAACTTAGTGACAGTGTGTTCATATTAAATAACACAAGCAGTGACTCCAGAAAACTGAGTTGGAACTTCTGCATGTGTATATATATGAAATTGTCAGCATGACAGAAATATTTTTGTATTTTTCAAATCCAATTTGTTGTATATAACTTTTTTTTATTTCTTTTGTGCAGATCAATTTTTAAACTCATGTAGGTAGGTATCTTTGCACTTGTATAAACTATGAAATGTCAGTGTTCAGCCAGATGGTATGATGGAGCAGTGGAGGGCAGAGTTCAGTGACTAGAACTTCTAGCTCAAGCTCTCTAGTTCTGCTTTGCCCTTGAAAGTGTCATCCGTAGTTTTAGCATTAAGTACGTACAAAAGTATCTTATGTTTTATATTGTCAGACCAAAATCAACACAAAAACTTTGGGAAAGAGTAGGATTAAGTATACACTTGGCTTATAGTAAGTGAACTGATTTTTAACTGCTTTTGACCACCTTTGTAATTATGATAAAAGTACCAGGTGTAATGCCAGAAAATGTATGGACAATAGTATTTCTCAAGTTTTTAATATTTTTAATGGAGAAATTTACGATTTGTGGAATCAGGGCTGTTAACGCAAAAGCTGGTAACAGGTTTTAAATTTCAGCCAATCAGGATTCTAAGTGAAAAATATGGACTACCCCAAATTTAAAAGAATTTTGTCTTTTAAGTTACTCTTTAAATTTTAATATGCTGCTTATGACAAATATTTGATGTAAAATTTGAATGCTTAAAAACATTTACATAATAAGAACTACATGAAAAGTATATTTCATAGACACATATATGACATTAGGGAAAGGTATACTTGATTAAAACAAAGTGAACAGAATAAACAACAGCCCTAAAAATTGGCCTTTTATTTTAATTGAATAAACCTTGTTAATAAAAACCAATGGTGTTTTAAATCTTATATGTGATATTAACTTAACTTGCCATAGGCCATTTGGTACAAGATGGGGACATGCTTCTTTACTGGCTGCCCTCATCCTGTCTACTTGTGATAGGCAGAAAAGGTTCCCCGCCCCTGCTCAAAGTTAGTTAACATTTCATTTCAGGTGTGTGGAAATTCTTGGTGATAGTGGACCTACTTAGTAAGTGCACATGCAAACAGCATTTGAAAAAGTCTGGTTTTTATTAAGCAGTTTTACATACCCAGCTATTCAGGACTATTTATATCACTTTCTGGTGTATATATCACGACTGCCCAGTTTGTAAAATTCACAACACCAAAAAACATTTAGACCAAAAAACATTTAGAGAAACTCAAAAGCACATAGGTTCCTTAAGGAACAAAATGTCCAAGTAGGTCACTGAGACAGGGAAAAAAAATTAAATACACCTTTATTGGGTTTTCTCCTACTTGAAGCATGGCTTCACATTTAAATTTAAGTGCCCAAAAACAAGTAATATTGTGAACCATTTCAAACGTGCTATTTGAACGTTTTAATACAGAACACTTCCTAATCAGTACCAATGAGTCTAAACCACTTAGCTATCAATGCTCTAACTGCTAACTCAGAAATGCACAGCTGTTTGGCTGGCTTTCTATTATACTGTGATTGGGGGTGGGAGAAGTATAATCAAACTTCTATACATGCATTCAATAAAGATTTTATGCTTACAAAGCAATTCTAAATTTCAAAAATACCTTAACATTTTGAAAACGTGGCTTTAAAGTTATCTTAGCCCCCTTGTTAAAGAATTATTAAAGTCTGTAAACAGGTTTCTTGGCAAAGTAGGCATCTGGAAGACCCTGCAACCAATATTTTCTTTGTTAAATACGGAAAAAGTAAATGCTATGTTCTCAGGCTAATATGGCTTATAAAATGCTTACAAGGATGGTTCTGCGGACTTGCCTGGGAGAAACTGGACATGATTATGCAAAAAGTATTCCTAGAAACAAACATTTACTTAAACAAGGGGGAAGGGTTGTTAAATTAGTCTCAAGTTTTCTTTGCTAGTAGATGCCAAAATTATAGTATAGTATAAGACAAGTGGCTTTAAGAACAGCTATGTGCTCTACCTGTAGTATGATGGCCACATTTTATACCACATGCTCAAATGAAACGAAAGCTTCCATTTTAAGGAATTTTCTTTCTGATTTAAAAATGCCACAAGATACTTTGAATATCCAATTGGAAGAAGTATATACAATATGATGTAGTCTAGAAGTTTCATCAGAGTTGTATCAAAAAGAAAATTCTACCGAAATTTTAAGAAAAGCTCGATGTTGGAGCTGTATAAAAGTAGTAAGGCTCATTGGTAAAGACACTGATAAACTGTGAAAGAGGGAAAAACACATGGCTTTATCTTGCTAATGATTTAAACTGAACAGCTAAACAAAATGTCAAATCTGAAGGGCCATCTCCAAACGGAAGAATCCTAATCCAAGGTCTCAACTCAAGGTTATATTCTGCCTTCCAAAATTCAGAAGACTTAGCACTAGTTGGACCTATAGAAAATGCAATTAAACCTAAGTGCTTAGAAGGATTTGGAGAATCAGTGCTTTCAGAGTAGTAAAGTGAGGACATTTCATCATGTCACTTAGAAACATTACAACTTCGCTATCCAGAGAAATATTCCCCACCTTAGGAAATAGAGGTTTAACCTGCATCTCACATGTTCCCATTTGGGGCACAGAAGCTGAGTCCAGGCCAGTTCTATTTAAAAGGCTGCAATCTTGCTTGCTTCTCGAACACCACTCAAATATGCTCCAGTAACAGTCTGTGGGAAATGCCTATTTGTTGCCTGTAAAAAATAATTACATGTTAGATTGTAAACAAAGTGAATCAAAGGCAAAATGAGCTTAAGACTTTAGGATTCTCCTAAAATAAAGATGGCAGCTATCAGTAACAAGTCAAATTATCACAGTAGCCCCTGAATATCTCTGCTTTGCCAAATTCTCTTTCTGCAACGTATTTAGCAGTCCCACAAAGTAGTGTGGTACTAAGTATAAGGGCAGTGGACAGTGTTAAAAAGCCTCAGAAAATGGGTTTTAGAAGATGAGGTAGTAACTATCAAGGGAAAAAGTTAAGCTCTGTGCAGATGGCTCATGCCTGTGATTCTAGCTACTCAGGAGGCTGAGATCTAAGGATCTCAGTTCAAAGCCTGACCAGGTAGGAAAATTGAGAACCTATCTCCAAATTAACCACGAATAAGCTGGAAGGAGAGCTATGGTTCAAGTGTTAGAGTGCTAGTCCTCAGCAAAAAACCTCAGTACCCAGGCCCTGAGTTGAAGCCCCAGAACTGGTATACAAAAAAAGGTTCTGTATCCTATTTGTGACCTCGATGGACTCTCCTGGAACTACTATCAAGTGCCCCTTTTTGTGCGGGGCCTGGGCTCTGTTCCTTAACTTTGTCTGCTCAAGACTAGTACTTTACCACATAAGTCACAGACTCAGACTTTTGGGTGGTTAATTGGAGACTTTTTTGCCCAGGCTGGCTTCTGAACTGTGGTTCTCAAACCTCAAGACTCCCAAGTAGCTGAATTACAGGCAGGAACCACAGGCAGCTTCAAGTGGCTTTTAAAGAAGTGGTTCACTCAGGTCTAAGCTGACATCCAAGGATGGGGCAGTGTTCAGACATGTAGCAGGCAAAGATCAAGGAAGACAGGGAGGGAAGAGAAAACAAAAGGCTCTAAAAGCTTTAGTGGCTTCAGTTAAACAGCCAGAGGCTGCTGCTAAAACATTCTGAAGAAAGCATTCAAAGGGCTAAAATTTAAAAGCTATTTGGTGAGATGTTTTCCACAGAAGGACAAAGAGATGGATAATAGTATAGAAGAAAATGTTAGGTGTAGATAAGATGTTCTAAGAGTTCCAAGTTGGGGTATAAAGAACAAAGTGGAAGAAAGTGAGCAGAAGCAGGGGCTGGGAAGGTGGCTCAGTGGTAGAGCGTTTGCCTTGCATGCATGAGGCCCTAGGTTCAATTCCTCAGCACCACATAAGCAGAAAAAAAAGCCGGAAGTGGCACTGTGGCCCAAGTGGTAGAGTGCTAACCTTGAGGTGAAGAGCTGAGGGACAGCGCCCAGGCCCAGAGTTCAGGCCCCACAACTGGACCCCCCCCCCCCCCCCAAAAGCTGGGAAGGTGGCTCAGTGGTAGAGCACTTGCCTTGCATGCATGAGGCCCTGGGTTGGATTCCTCAGCACCACATAAGCAGAAAAAAAAGCCAGAAGTGGTGCTGTGGCTCAAGTGGTAGAGCCTAGCCTTGAGCTGAAGAGCTGAGGGACAGTGCCCAGGCCCACGACCGGACCCTCCCCCCCGCCACCCCCCCCCCCCCCAAAAAAAGTGAGCAGAAGCAAATGCTATCAAGAGACATGATTCTAAATCACAAGGAACAAAACAAGGCACAGGATCAGAAATCAGAATGGAGTTGAATAATAAGTCCTTTGTACAACTACTTAAAGATAATGATTTTAAAAAGAAAGGAGAATGAGGAAGTTTTTCAACAGAAATCAAGGAAAGTAACAGCAGGGGACCGCACAAAGGGGCCTCCAGAAAATATAACCAACAAGCCAGATGACATGCTTGATTGAGAGTTCACTGAAAGGGAGGAGATACAGAGAATTAAGGAAGGATCAAAAGAATCATTTCAACTACCAAAACACTAGAAGAAGCTGTGCAACCCTGACTCATCAAGAAGCAACATAAACATAGGACATAACTCTAATCTTAACAGTGCGAGATAGCCATGTTGGAGAATAATGCAGAGGACCTTGACAGGACAAAGGTAATTCTGATAAATATAAACCTGATTTTAAGATGGAAAAGCAAGTTAAGAAGAGATGCTTGAAGAGTTAAAAATGATGGGAATATGAAGGCAGACTCAGTATTGAGAAGGCCTTAAATGTTAACAAAGAAAAACAGTATTTAATCTGGCTTTTAAACAAGTTATCACTTTAAAGAATTAAAAGTACAAGGGGTTGGAGCCATGGCTCAGGTGGTAGGGGCACCTGCCAATGAACATAAGAGTCAGATAGTAAGTTTGAGTATTAAGTCTCAGACAAAAAATGATCAAAATACAAGATAAATACCTCGCCAGCAAAAAAGATAGTTCCTTGTATTTCCTCGGCTATGATGTCGTAGGCCTCACCACTTCCAAATGTCTTCACAAAACTGTAAGCCATCTGGATCCATGGCTCTGTGCTCCACCGAGTGACAAAGTACTTTGTGGGATCTGGGACTTCCTGCATTCAATAGAAAACAAAGTAAAATAGGCTTAGAAACTCCAGGTGTCAAATGGTTCATGCCTGTCAGCTACTCATGGGACTAAGATCTGAGAATTGCAGTTCAAAGTCAGCCTAGGCAGGAAAGTCAGAGACATCTCCAGTTAACTACTAGAAAAGCTGGAGAGAGAGCTGTGGCTCTAGTGGTAGAGTGCAAGCCTTACGCAAAAACAAGTTCAAGTACAGAACTCGGGCTGTGAGTTCAAGTCTCAGAACTGGCACACAATAAAACACAAAACTTTCATACGGGCGTAATGCACATTTCTCCCTAACACTTATGCTCTACCTACTGTAAACTGTACCAGCTACACACAATCCCCTCACATCTACACTTAATCCTATATCAGACATTCCACCCACAGCAGGTCACACTAGGAGCTAAGAGTCCAGGCCTTCCTTTCCCATGGCCTGGCCAGTGCTGGAGCTGTGGGTAGAGGGAAGGATTCCACCCAAGGTAGAAAAGGGAAGGGTGGTGCCAACAGGGTTACACGTTGGAATTCCCAACCAGCTTCATCAAACTGGCACAAGAATGTATTTGCATTCTCAGAACGATTTTGTCAGGTGACCTTGGACAGCAGCACCATGAAAAACACCTTTCTGGAAACAATACTGCATTCCAAACTAATTCACAAACACTTCAGGGGAAAAAAAAAACAAACGGAAGCTAGGAACTACTACGTTACAAACCACATCACTAGTTGGACCCTCCCAGGACAATGGCAACATAACCTGGATGGATAACCCTCGCTTTCTCTAACTCACAAACCTTTGGAGCTGTTTCACTTGTTTCTTAATTAGAAAAAGAAAAACTATCAACAAATCTCCAAAGTACATGTAAAGTACATGTGTGTGTGTGTGTGTGTGTGTGTGTGTGTATATATATATATATAGTACATGCAAAAATAAAGTACACTGAGTTCCTAGTAGAAAAGACTGCCTATGTAGAGGTAAGAAAATTCTGGAAAGTTGTCCAAGTTTCTAGGACTTGGTAAGTACAGAATTTTCAGAAAATCCCAAGTCTTAACAGCCCTGTGAGAGAAAGGTGTGCAGAATTTGGGAAAGAAAAACAAAAGGGCAATTTTATAAATAAAGTACTGCCAGGTGCTGGTGACTCATGCCTGTAGTCCTAGCTACTTGGCAGGCTGAGATCTAAGGATCACAGTTGAAAGCCAGCATGGGCAGGAAAGTCTGAGACTCTGATCGCCAATTAACTACCAAGAAAGCCAGATGTTGAGCTGTGGCTCAAGTGGTAAGAGGGCTAGCCTTGAGCTCGAAAGCTCAGGACAGCTCCCAGGCCCTGAGTTCAAGCTTCAGGACCAGCATGCTTGTGAATGTGCACATGCACACGCATGCGTGCATGTACACACACACAAGGTATGTCACCCCTTCTCCCCAATTCCTGTGAGGTCCTAACTGCTAGTCCCCTAGAATATAACTGAATTGAGAGGCAATTAAAATAGGGTCAGTAAGGTGGGCCTAGAGCAGTCTGGCTATTATCTGCTTATTAGAGAAGGAAATAAGGACAGCCAGAAAACACATGTGAAGACAGTTAAGAACTATCTGTAATCCATGGGCAAGCCTCTGAAGAGACCCTGTTGACATCTTCAGCCTCCAGAGCACTGAGTACGGTGTACTGTGGTTAGAGCAGTCCTACAAGCTAATGCTGGTACAAAGAGGGATGCTGGAACACAGGACCTGACCCTCTTGTCTTGTTTCCCTTCGTTCATTCTCGGTAAGTAATGTAGAAGATTCCGATCCCACCTGCCCCAAAGAGCACATGCACAGCAAGTGTGTCTGACCTGTTCTTTGAACAGCTCCCGCAGGGTGGCCATGCACTGCTTCAGCACCTGCTTGTCATCCAGGGTCCGGAGGGATGCTACAGCCTCCCCTGCGATCACCGACATTAGCACGCTCTGCTGCTTCTGCAGGCACAGAGGGAAAAAGCAGTTGAAGTTTTGGGTCCAAATGTTTCTAATGCTCAGTTCCAGACAAGGGCCTCACTGCTTCTCACTGGCTCATCCTCACTTCGGATTGAGTCCTTCCATACTCTCTCACACACATTACTCATCCAGGAGGGGTAGACTCAATAATGAACTCAACAGTACATTACTGTACTGTTCTCTCCTGGAAAGAGAAAGAAAAGAAAACCCTAAACACTCAGAAAGTGCTCTGACTATGAAATGCAGGGTGCCCTGAGCTGTTTATGAAACCTTGTTTTGAAGTAGCAGGAAGAGAATGAGAAGGGAAATTGGAGAAAAAAATAATGCCAATGAGACCTCCTGCACTGGGTTCCCACGTGAAACCTTAAGACACACTGAGAATGAGAGGAAAGCAGGACAGCAGCAGCTGGGATTCCTGAATGTGGCAGCCACAGGGCTGCACCGGACATCCTCAGAGTTGTCTCATTCCCTGCTGCACGATGTTCCGCGCCCGGACCTGCCCTGCCCGCTCTCTGGAAGTCTGTCACAGAGGAAGTCTCAGGCCACTCATGCACTGTGCTCACAAATAAGCTTTCACCAGCTTATTTGTCCCTGTTAAGTAACACTAGTACTTAAAAGACAAACACTGGTGTTCTTTTCCCATAAGAAAATGTCCCAGTCAAAGTGACATCCAGAATCTCCATGATATTCATTTGTTTCTAGGCTAGCACACAACCGACAACTAGACAGTTGAAGCACATTTCACAGCTTTACCTCGGGATCCATGTCATAGTACACAGCAAAGAGCCCTCGCTGACTGGCACTGGGAGGAACGTGACCAAAGAAATCGGCCCCTTGGACTTTACTGTCCCAAAATCTGTATGGAAACTGCAAAGCAATCTAGGAAGCAAAAGAGAGATGGCTCAGTACCCTGCACATAGCAATTCTGGCCAACACTAGAGACAACCTGCAACAATACTAAGAAATCATGAAGGGTGGGTGAATACAATCATAATATTCAATGCATGTTGTAAGTGAAAATGGGTATTGGAAGATGCCGAGAATGGACAGGTTGACATTGATCAAGATGTATTATACTCAAACTGACAAGCTAAAACCCCTTTGTACAACTACTAAAAACAATCTTCCCATTGTCCATACTCCTGTCTATCTTGGTTCTCTGTGAGCCTCCTGCCCTTTTTTTGAGGTGGGGGTGGGGAGTAGGGGGTTAAAATTTGAACACACATCTTGAGCTTGCTAAACAGGCACTCTACTACTTCCTGTACCTACTTTCCTCCTCCCCCTCCCTTTTTTTTTGGTAAAACTGGAGTTTGAACTCATGGCTTCACGCTTAACTGGGCTTTGGTTATTGTTCAGCTGGTGCTCTACCACTTGAGCCATACCTCCAGCCCTGCTTTTTTGCTGGTTGTTTTGAATACAAAGTCTCAGACTTTTCTGCCCAAGCTTACTTCACAAAACAATCCTCTAATCTCAGCCTCCTGAGTAACTAAGATTATAGGGTGAATGAGCCACTGCTGCCTAACTGACAACTTCTTGCTTCTTTTATACCCCCTCATTCTACATTCCCTTGGATAATGGTGTGGCCCAGGACTGACCATCAGGCTAATCTAAAAGCATGAAATGTTTCTAAGGCTGTGCTTGAAGCCTAATGTCTAAGTTACACACTCATTACTTTCAGATTTGCTGGTATCTACAACAGATGGTAAGGGAAGAGGAAGTAAACCACTGTCCTCACTGGGGCTAAGGAGAGATCGACAAAAAAAAAAAAAAAGCACACAAAGAAATACTTATAGCAAATCTAGATTCTGAATATCAAATTTCACTCTCCTTAAAGTCAACAACTGATAATATCCTTTTATAGTCTTCAAGAACAAGAGGAAAGGAAACCAATAAATTCTATTTGTCTTCAAAAATGACACTGGATGGATTACATTCTAAGTCCTGTTATCTGCCACGAGTTCCAAGTTCTGAGGCCAAGGCAAATCAGGTCACCTTTTCAATGATGCCTGCACCCAAGCTGTTGATGGCCTTCATCTTCTTCTCTGACAATGGTGGATTGAACTGGATGGCTCCTTTCTGTAGTATAGCCAGTGGCACTGTGACTAAAACCTGTGGGAAGTAATTAGCAGTTAACCAGTGCATAAGGCAGTTGACCCTAACAACTCAGTTTCCAAGAAAATCAACACAAGAAGAACATTCTCGTGTCCAGTTTCAAGACAGTCATCAACAACCTCTCATGTTATTCTGCAAGAGGAAGGGCTTTGATGAGCAGTCATGCGGGTTGTTCACCGCACAAAGGGGCCTGCTTCAGCAGAAGTGGCATCCACACAGAACTTGCATACATGTTCTGGTGGCTAATAAGAATCCTGGCTCAGCCAGGTGCTGGTGGCTCACACCTATGGTCCCTAGATGAGATCTTAGGATCTCAGTTTGAAGCCAGCCTGGGCAGACAAATCTGTGAGACTCATCTCCAAATAACCACCAAAGCCAAAAGTGGGGCTGAGGCTCCAGCCACAGCTGGTAAGGCTCTAGCCTTGAGCAAAAAAACTAAGAGACAGGGTGGAGTTCTAACTCAATGGCAAAGCATTTGCTAGCAAGTGCAACATCCCGAGTTCAATACCCAGTCTAAAAAAAAAAAAAAAAAAGACAATAGTTTTGTTTTGCTTTTTGGTTGGTTGTGGGGTCCTGAACTCTGAGCCTGGGCGCTGTCCCTCAGCTCTTCAGCTCAAGGCTAGTGTTCTTCCACTTGAGGCTAGTGCTCTTCCACTTGAGCCACAGCGCCACTTCTGGCTTTTTATGTTTATGTGGTGCTGAGGAATCGAACCCAGGGCCTCATGCATGCAAGGCAAGCACTCTACCACTGAGCTATCTTCCCAGACCCAGTTGTTTTTTTTTTAAATATTCAAAAAGGAAAAAACAAACCAACCCTCAGGGCCTCCAGGCCCTAAGTTCAAGTCCCAGTACACACACATATACACACACAAACATGCTAAGTTGAGCCTGGATGTGGTGGTACACACCTGTAATCTCAGCACTAGAGGCCAAAGCAGGAGAATCTCAAGTTCCATACTATCCTGAGATACATAGTGAGACTATTTTTAAAAAACAGAAACAAAAATAAAAACAAAACTCGCCCTTCAAAGCCACATCACAAAACCAAAAGACAACCACTGCCTCGTTACACAATCGAGAAGGTTCTAGCTCCAGAACCACTACACAGTTGGGAAGCCATCACTACTGTGCTCAGCATCACACCACACACAACCTGGGACCTCTGACATCCTTGCTGCAGAAGAACTGACACCTGGACCACTGTGCGTCAGCAGAGGCAGCAAGGCAAGAGTGAAGCCAGCCACAGCCCCCTGGGAAAGAGGGCAGGAAAGGGAGAAGGTGGAAAGGGAGAGGAGGAGTGATGATTGTGTTACGTATGTGTGTTTGGTGCCCAACATCTGTAGAACTTGATAACCAACCATGCCTGAATTGAAGCTGAACACCAATATGCCCTGCTTCTCAAAGGCTTTCCAGTACTGGTACTGGGATCACAGCTCAATTCTCCCTATAATTTCTGTAATGTGAAAATTTTAGAAGTATAAAATTTGGTCTCTATCTTCAAAAGTTGGTGATCTGTCTACAGGTTTTAGAGCTACCATGAGAACAAAACAATCAGCAAGCAAGACCTGGTTGAGTTGATTCACTCGTAACAACTGCAAGGAAATCTATCCAGAAGTCTTACTGACAAAACTTTCTTTAGAAGGGCTATGCTTCTTCTGCACAAGAACTTGGACAATTCAAGTCCATGATAAACACACCCTGGTAAAAACTGGCTACATTCTGTTACACTTTGTCGCAGGTTTTTGGCTACATTCTATTACACTTTGTGGCAGGTTTTTGGTCTCTTGTCGGGATGGAATGCTTTCACTCATCTATTTGGGGAGACTTCCAAGACAAACTGTGAGGAGCACTAGCCACACAAATAAAAATATTTGTTTTCAACATTTCAAAGTGCGGCTTGCAGCTATTCCAGAACACAGAGGGAGCCGGTGTCCAGCCATGGTCAGCAGAGGCTGACCAGGCAAAGGAAGCCCAAATGGCACAGTGTCATGGACACTGAAAGCTACAAATACCAGAGGCTGAATCACCAGCTGACTTGCAATTTTAGAAGGTGTCATTTTAGTCAGGCACTGATGCTCAGGCCTATAATCCTAACTATCCAGGAGATTGCAAGGATTGAAGTTCAAAGCCAGACCAGGCATGAAAGTCTGTGAGAATCTTCAAATTAACTATCAAAAAAACAGAAGGAGAGTTGTGATTCAAATGCTAGAGCATCAGTCTTGAGCAAAAAAACTAAAGAGACAACAGTGAGACCCTAAGTTTAAGCCAAAAGAGAGGACTTTAAAAAAAAATGTTGATTACTAAGAAATCATAAAATATTTACGAGTTTACAGAGGAGGCCACTGTGGCCTGCCTCAGCAAGCCACACACCCAGAGTCACAGATAAGAATTAAATATCCGACCAATACAACCCAGCCAGAATCCCCACAGTCAAGAACCTCCAGATGCTTCTGACCTGAAGCCGGTGCTGAGATCCACTACTAATCCAAAGTGTCCAGCTGGCTGGTGACAGCAGTAACATTAGGACAGCCGCATCCCAACACAAACTCCAGGCCCTGCCTGTGACACTTAATTCTTCATTTCTATGTGAACATCAAGAACTATGAAAAGGACGGTGATGAGGAAAAAGCCCAGCTCACCAGGAAACTAGTGACAACTCATCAAAGACTTTTCCTGGTGGTACTGGAGTTTGAACTAAGGATCACATTTGTGCTAGACAAGTACTCTGCCACCTAAACCATACCATCTGAACCAGATCCCAGACCCTTTTGCCTTTTTTTCCAGGTAAGGGCTGCCTCGGTCTGGCCCTTGACCACAATCTTCCTTCCTTTACTTCCCACGCAGGTTAGATTATAGACACACACCATTATGCCTGGCTTGTTTCTGAAACAGGTCTCATTTATTGCCAAGCTAGTGTAGCACTGTTGATCCTCCTGTATCTACTTCTCAGCTGTGATTACAGGCATAATACCACCACACTCTGCCCTCAAAGACTTTTTTCATCATCACTTCAGACATAACTAAACCTGGGCTTTGCTCTTGGCTAAGGCAGGTGGCTCTACCACCATTTGAGCCATGTCTCCAGCTCAAACATAACTTCAAAGATAAATTAAATCCCTTCGGCCCCAAACAAATTAGCACCTTTGTTTTATAATACTACAGAAATCAGAATACGACTTTAGGTGATTAGATTCAGCAGTACTTTTTTACTATTCACAGCATTAGCTGTCTAGAAAAAGTTAAATTACGTAAAAATGTACATGGTGTATAAAGTTTAGTTTCAAATGAAACAGGAGTTTTTTTATCCAAAAGGGGTTCTGTGTTAAAAAAAAATCAGAAGCACAACAGGTTTCTTTAATATAGCATTTACTATATCCCTCAAAGCAGAGAGGTATAGTATTCCAAAATTATTTGTCAAAGCAAAACAAAACAAAAAAAAAACTGGAGGAGTGCAGAGGATGGAACCCAAGGCCTCACACATTAGGGGTTGGAAGCATGAATCAGGTTGTAGAGCACCAGCTAATGAGCCAAAGCGAAGCTCAGGTACCGTGAGTCACAGTTTCTGACAGAAACAACAACCACCACCACCACCACCACAAGGCCTCCTACATACTAGGCAAGCTCATTTAGCACTGAACTACCCCCTAGAATTTAATTGTTGGACTCTTAGGACATAGAACGCAGAACACATCCCGCGGAACAGAAGTCAGTCCATTTGCCATGGAACGGTATTAGATCAGTTAAATCAGATTGGCACACTTAAACACAATGAAATGGGCACATTCAATGCATCAGAAATTCAACAAGGCTTTTAATCGTGGCAGAGTGCCAAAAACAAAACAAGGTGATAGGCAAAGGCAGTTTTTCTTTCCCCCAGGCCTCTGGCAGCAGAGGGCTCTACCCCAGTGGAATCACAGTGCTTACCTTTTGTGCACAATACCCTGCACCATCCATCGTGGCAACCTGCACTTCATCTCCAGTATAATCAATGCTCTGCACCTGTTGGACACAAGCAGTCATGAGAAAGCAGATGAGGGCTGGAACCGTATGATGCAGGTGTATCCCCGTTCTGCTGTGAGGCGTCTTACTCCTATGCGTAGTCATTTGCTGGCACTCAGATCTAAATACAACTAAAATTTCAAACAATGTAACATTGTAAAATATTGTGAGATATGTACAAATAATCATCTGTCTCTACCATTACAACAACAGACTATATAAATCCACTGGGGTAAAGATTTAAAGGGAAAAGTTCAAAGTGACAAATACCTGCATTGGGTTAGGAAGACTGTGAGTTATAACATTTTTTATTTTGTTTCGCTTTATGGAGGGCAGTAGGATTTGAACTCAGGGCCTTGAGCTCACTGGGCTTGCTTTCTTGCTTGTGGCTGTCACTATACCACTTGAGCCATGCCACGAGCACTGCTTTTGACTTGGGGAGAGAATAGTACACAGACTTTTGTATCCAGGGTGGCTTCAATGCAATCATTCTAACCTCAGTCTCCTGAATATATAACATTACAGGTGTGACCCGCAGGTACCCAGCTAAACACTTTTATTAATGAACACTCATGTAGGTCACTGCTACTCCCAGACAGCAACTATGACAGGTCATAGCCATAACGGTAACCACAAGTACTGAAAGCCAGTGCCTGAATGCCTGCCGCTTAGTCATGTGGCCAGATGCCAGTGGCTTACACCTGTAATCCTAGCTACTCAGGAGGCTGAGATCTAAGGGTCATGGTTTGAAGCCAGCCTGGACAGGAAAGTCGGTGACACTTTTATCTCCAATTAATCACAGAAAAAGCCAGAAGTGGCACTGTGGCTCAAGTAGTAGTATGCTAGCCTTGAGCAAAAAGGAGCTCAGAGACAGCACCCAAGCCCAAAGTTCGAGCCCCAAGACCAGGAAAAAAATAACATCCTCCCAAACAAAGCAAAGCCAGCACCTTCCACACCTGCCCATACTTACTGGAGATCTGAGCCGAATGTCTAGTCCTTCAGCCAGTTTTTCAATTATGACAGAGTATCCAGGAGTTAGTAGAGTGTGGTCACCAGCAAACTGGGCAAAGAATTCATTGTGGTCCCAGGAACGAGCAGACACCTGCAAACAAAAGATGGGAGCCTGCAGTGTGAATCCTAGAGTCTGTGTCTGAGCCCACAGAAAGGAGTCAGGTTAGAGCAGCCACCCAAAGCAGGAGGGCTAAGCCATCAACCCCACGGAAATATCAGGAGGGAGAATATGAACTAACCAGTTCTGTTGACACTGCTATTTTTGGAAGAAAATCTCTACAGAAAAGCCGATTGTGGAACACAAAAGGTCTAAATTATTGAGAAGAAGTACCTAGAGAAAACTCGTCTCATGAATGGGAATTCTATTAAGGGTAAAGAAACTGCATTAAATTCCATATATAAAGACACCAACTGTTTGTCTTCTATGTGGGCACACTGCAGAGGTTGAAACCCAGCAGGATTTTGGAAAGCACTGCAGTTCCAATTGTACTGCAGAACCAAGTGGATATGGAGAGTCCCCAAGAAGATAGATGAACCAGCCAGAGAGTTTCTACTCAAAATACAGAATAATGAAGTTCTGGGTTCTTAGTTGGTAAAATGAGTTAGGCAAGCTTGAATTTGTTTTGGTAAGACAAACAGGTCAGAATTTCAAGGATGCTGTGTTTGGGTTTCTTGAGGACAGTGTTTACAGACTCCATGGTTCCACAGAAATAACTCGAGGTCAACTCCAGAGGGCATGGATGAGGGACAAGGCTCTTTGCCATTGCTGGCTGAGCCCAGCAGCATTGCTCTCTATGAGCTTCTTCTAGGCATTCTTTGGGGAAATTTATATATATATTAAAGATACTGTACAGAGAGGTTTTATGTGAGTAAGGTAATGAGCACATTTCTTTTTTGGGGGGGGGTTTCGTAGTGGGGCCTGAACTTTGGGCCTGGGTGCTCTCCCTCAGCTCTTCAGCTCAAGGCTAGCGCTCTACCACTTGAGCCACAGCACCACTTCCGGCTTTTTTCTTTTTGCTTATGTGGTGCTGAGGAATCAAACCCAGGGCCTCAAGCATGCAAGGCAAGCACTCTACCACTGAGCCACCTTCCCAGCCCCTAATGAGCACATTTCTTGGGAAAGGTTATTTTAAACAAAGGTGATAAAATACAATATACTCTGAAGTTGTACTTATCAAATTTCTGGGCCACAGGACCTACTCTATTTCTCCAAATCATCCCCAGTTCCATGCTTAAGACATACAAAATGCACATAAACACCAGCAAGTATTTAATAGCAAAGCATGTACTACAGAACCCAGCCTCACCTGATGGAGGTTGCTGCCACAGGCATACTCCAGATTACTGAGATGAAACTGAAGCACCTGTCCTTCCAGTTCACTGAACTGTATGCCCGACTCTTTCACAAAAGCCTTGAAGATCTCCTCTATCTTCGCTGTAGTGAAAAGGGATCAAAGCAGAAAAGCACAACAGCTTTCACCTCATTCTGTCACATCCTGGTCCTTTGTTCTCTGCATGCCACGAAGCATGAAGCATCCACCACCTTTCCTCCATTCCCCTCCACAGGAAAACGATAGCTTTTTGAAGGCTGAATCCTCTCAGAAAGTGAAAGCTTACCTTAATGGAAATGAAACTATGGAGGATCTGTATCTTTGAAAATGTTTCAGTTATGTCCAGCTGAGAAACTGGTTCCTCTTGTGCTCAAGGTGTAGAAAGTATTCCTGAACATATACGTAACATGCTCAAAAGAATTACATTTCCTTTATATTCTTTTGCTGTCTAATGCCACTGCTTTAATGTCAAGTTTTTGTTTTTTTACTTTGTGCTGGTCCTGGTTAAACTCAGGGCCTGGTTAAACTCAGGGCCTGGATGATATGCTGTCCCTGAGCTTTCTTGCTCAAGACTACTGCTCTCAACTTCCAGCTTTTAGGTGATTAACTGGAGATAAGAGTATCATGGATTTAACTGCCTGGGCTGGCTTCAAAACATGATCCTCAAATCTCAGCCTCATTAGCTAGGATTACAGGTGTGAGTCATGAGCATTTAGCCTAATGTCAAGTTCTTACAACAGTTCTTCAGTAGGCTAACTACTGGCTACACGGTATCTTAAACAAGAATAGTTTATGTACTTTTATCATGCTAGTCTTTTGCCTGAATACCTTTAATTACTATTTTCCAAAAGCCATAGGCAAGGAAGGCTGGCATATGTTCATCTTACAAAGGTAGTGAGTACTACCTTGCCCACTTACAGGTATGGCCACTCTGCTCCTGAACCTTTTTCTAGTGAATTCTGCCTGCTACTACTACTCTCCTTCTCAGGAACATCCATCCCCATCCATCACCTTCCATTCTTTACAATCCAGCATCACTGAGACACTGCAGGACCAGGATTCTCAACCTGTACCTGTCTATCTCACTCAGCAGCAACTTGGACAACACATAGTTCAAGTTGTGAAATCATTCCAGTTAGGGTCTTAATTGGATACCTCAGGGCACTACAGATGGGAGAAAGCTTTGCCTGGCCAGATATCTGACTAATCCCAAGCCTCTCAGTATGGGTTGCCCCTTCCTAGCTTTCTTAAGTGAGGACAGCCAGCCAACATACCACAGGCTCCAAGTTCCTATGAACAGTGGCACACTTGCCAAACTTGAAACCGAATTGTCAGGAAACTTTTACTTTGACATCTGACATCAAGGTTTCTCAAAGGACTTTTCAATTCTTAAGACTAGATTATAAAAAGAGGATGTCCAAGGGACCTGGGCCAGGCTTCTGACCCCACAACCCTGGGGCTGTCACTTTCAAAGCCTTTTGTAGTATCCCGATTTCTGCCGGCTGATAGGGAGTTTCTGCTCTCCTGTGGGCTTTGTGGAGGGGAAATAACCAAGACTACACAAATAGAATGTAAAATGAGTATAAACCTACTTGAAAGGGCCTTAACGTAGTTTTTAAGTAATATTTATATATTGTATAAATATTAAACATGTGCATGGTGAAATGAACTCTAGCTCTGTGTGTGAGTATGTATGTACTGAGATCTCAGGCAGCTGAGACACAGGCAGAACTTTTTATAGAAATGTAAGCAGATTATAAAAATTTTAATAGTCTTAGATGAAAAATTACTTTTCCATTATTGCTGGGCCTCCCCTAATAACTTATTTTAAAATAATGCCAATTTATCAAAATCTTTTTACTTGTTAATACTGGGAAAACAAAAAGATGCGGAATACTAGCCAAATTCTGTAGGACATAGCCAGGTGTGATGGTACCTGAAATCTCAGCGCTTTGTTTCAAGACAGATGTAGTTTAGGATCACAAGTTCAGGTCAGCTGGGGCTACCATAGACCCTATTCAATGAACTAAAAATTTCTAGGGATATCCTGAAAATCAACCTAACTACTACCCTCAACTCCAAAAACTGACCATCACTTGAGGTCTGGACACTACAACATTTGGTTCAATGATCTTATTAGTTAACTGTAGTTATTTCTGAAAATGTTTTCAGGTTTCAGTCAACACTTCTCAAGACTTATCAGAGCATGTCAGTCTTAATGGTGAAAGGCAAACAAACAAAGACATTCTCTGCTACTGAGTTTATTCTAAATAAAGACCTTTATTCCAAATACAGACTAAACAAATCAGCCTGCAGATGAGTGAACTCCCTTGCAGAGAGCCTACAGTTGAAGCAAATTACTATCTAACAAAGTGAAGTCAAGAAATACCAATACCCACACTCAATTTAAGAAGCAGTACATAGTTGCCACCTCATAGCAATGAGTTCCAGGCAGTCAAGTGGTCTACAAACTTTTGGTACTCACTGAAGTACCATGATGAAAGACTGAGAATTAAAATTCTTTTTTTTTTCCCCAGGGCTGAGGACCGAACCCAGGGCCTTGTGCGCATCGGGCGGGCGCCCTTCCACTGGGCTAAACCCCCCAGGCCCGAGAATTAAAATTCTTAAGAGTATACACTCTTAATCAAATATACTGAACAAAAAGCTTAACTTATTGCCTGAAGAAATGAAAGAACAAATCCTCCTACTCAGAACTTTTACATAGAAAAGATACAACAAAGTGACAATTTACTCACCCAGGATTTATAGACTTTCTTAAAAGTAGGTTTCTGAGAGATTTAAAATTTACAACTTTTCTGTGTGTGTGTGTGTGAGAGAGAGAGAAAGAGAGAGAGAGAGAGAGAGAGAGAGAGAGAGAGAGAGAAAGAGAGAGGGAGAGAGGGAGAGAGACAGAGAGAACACACACATTATGGTACCAGTACTGGGACTTGAACCCAGGGCCTCATGCTCTTGGCTTTTTTGCTCAAGGCTAATGTTCTACTATGTGAGCCACACTCACTTCTGGCTTCTTAGTGGTTAAGTGGAGATAAAAAAGAGTCTCATGGACTTTTTTTTTTTTACCAGGCTGGCTTTGAATTGTAATCCCTAGGTCTCCTGAGTAGCTAGGTTTATAAGTAGAGCTACTAGTGCCCAGTTATGGTTCATTTTGTGATACATGAGCTTCATGCTATGTCAGGCTTATATGTCAGGCTCATATGTGCATGCACATATATGCTTCCAAGGTCCCCAGGAAAGTTATACCCCACCTTGAGGAATACCTGGGGTCCAGCTGTCCAAAGTGGCATGCATATGGACCATCCCTACTGCACACGTGCAGTCTCGAAAAGGAACGATGCTACTAGTCACAGCAGCACGGAGACGGAACAATCAGATATCATTCTCCCATACCTCCTAAAGGGACATCTTGGAGCAGAGTCTTATCCTTCCTCCACTCAGAGACAACATCCAAGAGAGCATTAAAATGAAAGTCCATGCGCTTGTCAATAGTAGGGTCCGTTATCCTTCCACCTTCCTGAATTAAGTCACATTTCTCTCCCAATTTATGCATGCTGATGCCAAGCTTCAAAATAATAAGAACGAGAAAGTGAAATTTTTTCCTTGGAAAAAAATATTTACAGGTGCTAAGCTGAACTAAGACAGCGCTCTCATGGAGAAAAGGGTCTAACAATGTAAAATACCTAAAGCAAAAAAAAACCAACAACAAAGTGAGACGTTGGGTAAAATAACAAAAATCAACAGCCCTGGGTTTTGTGAGACTATGCTATGAGGGAGGGGACAAGAGCTTCTATACCATGAACTAACCTCCTACCTAATGCTGCAGATGCTAACACCCCCGCCCTGTTTTTGCTATGGACCTTCACATAAATGAACTCACGAGCACAGACATACTTATAGAAGCTGAAATCCAGTTTACTCTCAGTAAAACTTTCAGGGAAAAAAAAAAGTGGACCTATCAGAGAAATTCCCAGCAGTAAGTCACACACACTTGTAAAAGTGTTAAGTACACAAATACTGCATGCAAAATATCCCATGTAATATCTGGGGTTTACTTGCACTCAAGTTATTTTTTCTGAAAGTCAAAATTTAATAAAGAAACCTGTACTTTCACCTGTCAAATCTGGCAACCCTAACATTGCAATTATTTGGCCTGCAAATAAAATTTAGTATCTTAGAAAAAGAAAAACCTCTCAGACAAGGAGAAGCACAGTTATTCTTTTCTTTGCATAGACACTATTGTACATGATCTACTTGAGAAGCACACTAGTTTATAATCGCTTTCTATTTTTAAATGCTGGTAACTGAACCCAAGGCACCGCACAAGCTAGGCAAGTGCTCTGCTATGAGCTACAATGCCAGCGGTATATGAATACTATACACAAGCAAACTGAGACAACTTTCTTTTCATTGTACATAAATCTTAAACTCACTTGCTCACACATTAGTGCTATTGGGTTATTAATACAGCCATTCACAATCTGGGGTCCTCTTCCCACCGTGATGCCTTTAAAAGATTTGTCATCCCAGACTCGACCTCCAATTCTATCTTTGGCTTCAAGAACAGTTACCTAAAAAAAAAAATAAACAACCAGAGAATCAAAACAGGACAGAGCTGTTACAGCAGATACAGAATTACAAAAATGTAGAATAATAGTGTTAATCCTAATTACTGTATTTCTAAAAAAGCCTCTTGATTGAATTTAAACAGAAGCTAAAAAGGACATTCAAAGTAGCCCAAAATCTGGAAGGGAAGCCTGGGTAGTCTTGCTAGAAGACCCCCTTGTAGTGCTTCAAGTCAGGCAAGAGCTAATGAACAAGCATGTGAAATGAATTTTGAATACTTTTACTAAATAGTCCACAAATAAAAAACCAGGATTAAGAGCTGAACTTGCATATGAAATATCTATATACAAAGCAACATTTCCTTAGCAATATAAATAGGCCTTACCACCATGACACGACTTTTACTTTTTTAATGTCTAAGCCTGACCTCATGAGATTGACCAAACCAGGCTCAATTATTTCCAATTGCTAACGCTGGACAAAGGAGGAGAAGCTCAGAGATAGACAGGCTCTGTATCATCTGTGGGCCTGGGATTCAAAGTGCCACAGCTCCCTGTTTTGCATTAATTGAAAATGAGATTACAAGACTAGTCATTTTTGGGGTGGGCTCAGTGGTAGAGTGCTTACCTTGCATGCATAAGGCCCTGGGTTCAATGCCCCAGCACCACAGAAGCAGAAAAAGCTGGAAGTGGTGCTGTGGCTCAAGTACCAGAGCACTAGCCTTGAGCTGAAGAGCTGAGGGACAGCACCCAGGCCCAGAGTTCAGGCCCCACGATTCACAAAAAAACAAAACAAAACAAAAAACTAGTCATTTTACTTCTGGGTTTTTTGTTTGTTTTAAGTACTAAGAATTGCTAGTGGTTCATGCCTTTAATTCTAGCTACTTGGAAGGTAGAGATCTGAGGATCAGGCTTCAAAGCCAGTCCAGACAGGAAAGTACGTGAGACCCTTATCTCCAATTAAGCACACACAAAACAAAAAAGAGGTGGAGCTGTGGCTCAGGTGGTAGAGCACTAAGCCTTGTACAAAAAAAGCTTAGGATCCCAGCCCTGAGTTCAAGCCTCAGGAATGATGCACATGCGCGCACACACATACACAAGAGGTCCCTGAATTATCTCTCAGTCCACTCAAAGGTATAGAGGTATCTATTTCCTGATTCTCAAGGGATAGTCTCCAGTGGCTATCTCATCATTTGGGCAAAATAACACAGAGGACCTCTGAACATTCCTTCTCAGACCTATATTCTCCACTTTCTGAGACTAAGAAGGCTACAACATATCATTCTGCCTCACCATCTTTCTCCGACTTCAACTTAATAGTAGGGTATCCATTTCCATTTTTTCTTTTTTAGTGTAAGATATTAATACCCAAAGTCTCTAGACTTTGGATATTAATAACCTTCCCTGTAATATAATCTTTAGGTTTCCCAAGCAAAAAACAAAAACATTGGTCCAAATGTAATATGAAAACATTGAAAAATAAGAAAACAGAGAAAAAAATCACTTACAACCTTATAGCTTAAGATCACACCGAAGATATTTCTAAATGCAAGCACATTTCCTGTAATATCCAACTCAGGTTGTTCTATTTTGCCAGCAAGATAATGTAAGCCACAACTTGCATCCTCCCAGAAAGAAATCTTTTAGGCACAGCTATTGAAAACTGCACCCTGACAATTCAAAACAAGACTGAAAACCTTACCACATAGAAGAAAATAGCAAAAAGTATCAATTCTTTCAGCCAGATAAACTAAAAACATTTTTTACCAAAATGAAATGTTTCATTTACACTTGTAGTATCACAGAAAATCAGTTCTTGTAAAGTTTTAAACAGGAGACAAACTATCAGAACTAGCAAAATCAAGAGAAATCTAAAGGGACAGTTCATTTGAATGGATTTAGTGAAGGAAATGAGATACTAAATTATACGTTTGGGTTTTTGATAGATTACTTTGGTTTATTATGAACACTCAGAACACAATATGTTGTCCACTTTGTAGAAGCGAGTTGTCTTACAAATCTATCTACATATGCAACTACGTAAGTCCAAACTCTGCATCATCCAATCTTGCTTCTAAAAGCAAAATTTTCACATTCCTGAGCCAGAATCAAAGAGTATCTTTGGTTTGCCTAAGAAATACTAACTGGGAGGTTGGTAGTATCTCAATGGTAGAACACCTGCCCAATACTTGAAATTCTGAGTTCAAGCACCAACCCAAAAAGAGAGGAGGAAATGGGAGGGGAGAGAGGAGGAGAGAAGAGGAGAGAGGAAAGGGAGGAGAGAGGAAAGGGAGGAGAGAGGAAGAGAGAGGAGAGAGGAAAAGAGGGTAGAGAGAATGGAGAGAAAGTAGGAAGAGAGGGGGGAAAGGGAGGCTAGAGAAGGGAGAGAGAGGGGACAGAGGAGAGAGAAGGAAAAAAGAAGGGAGAAAGTCAGGGAAGGAGGCAGGAGTGAAAGCAGGAGAGAACTAGGTATTTTCCCAGGACAGTGAATTTCCATGCTGTCATTGGTTATAGGGAACAAGGACAGGAAGAGGGACTTTTCCCACCACTAACACCTCAATTGTGTTAATGTTAGTCAAGAACTTTTGCTTTTACCCTAGATTCTGACTCTAAATGCAGAGTCAGAAAATATCATTTCTTGGCCTTTTAGCTAAGAGAAAGTATAGAGGCTGAATTCTCTCCAAAGCTAGTAGTTCCTCTATCCTTTCTTCAATTAAATTATTGCAAATGTTTTAACATCTTAGGAGCTAGTATAAAGAGATTAACACTTCCAGCATTCCTCATTAAAATTAGGAACTAGTTCCTAAGAGTCAGAAAATTTGGACCAAATGAGCAGTTAACCATCTGTTGCCACCCACATATCCCAAAAATCTTACCTTAATTCCAAAGTTATGCAGTTGCCTAGCAGCTGCTAATCCTGCTGGACCAGCCCCAATAATGATGACTGATTTCTTTTCAAAAAGAAAAGAAACAAAATTCCAATTAGATTGAAAATTGGTTCTAAAATAGGGGGAAAGTAAAGAAAGAGCAATAGAGGACATGAATTTAATCAAAGTACATTATACACGTTTGAAAATACTATAATAAAACAAATTACAACTTATACAACTGATATGCACCAATAAAAAAATTCCAATCAGAGCAATGGTAACAACGTACTATTACAATGCTAGTCCATCTGTGTTTCTTTGATGCCTTTATAAAGTTATTTTCCTAAAGAATATGGTTGTACTTGTCTTTATGATCCCCTCCCCTTCAGTCCTGCAATCTGGAGCAACTACTTGATAGTTTCCTCTTGGGAGAAACATCCTATATGGAAAAGGTCTTGCTTATGTATATTTTATCATGATAAAGCAGCTAACAAGCATTTTATGAAGATCACTGGGAATGCTGTTGCTAAGGCCACAGCCACCTACATTGTGGTAGTCTTTAGGAAGAAGATACTGGTCGACTCCCACGGTGAGAACTCCTGTGTTGATAAGGCCTTTCCTCGTCATGAAATAAAGGATTCGCTCTACTTCTTGAACACATCGAATGCGCACGAGGCCCCGGACGATAATGTGAGGAACACATTTCTGAGGAGTAAGGGCTTCCTGTGTTTGGAAATGAAACCCAATTGTTAAAAAAAAAAACAAAAACAAAACACTCAAGGAACTCTTTAATAGCAAGAAAACAACTCAAAGTAGGAAGCACTACTTTGCCATTTTAAAAAATTGAGTGGGGGGCTCAGAGAGCATCTGTCTAGCATGTATAAAAGCATCTAGGTTTGATCTCGACCATTAAAAGTAGGTGGGGCAAAAGATCTAATAGACACGTATGTGGCCAACAGATATAAGAAAAATATGTTCAACATCACTAACTACCAGGGAGATACAATTCAAAATTCAATGAATTATCACCTCATTCCAGTTAAATGGCTATTGTAATCAGAAAGACAAAAGCAAATAAATGCAGAGAGAAGGGAGATTTTGCACACTTATGGATGGAAATATATGTATGTATAGCCACTGTGGAAAGCAGTGTGAAGGCTCCTTGAATTAACAATAAAATAATCATGTGATCTAACAGTCCCACTATCAGGTGACAATGTCAAAGACACCACTTGCACATTCACTGAAGCCTTATTCAAATCATCAAGATACAGAACCAACTCAACGCCCATCACCTGAATCACTAATGAAAATGTAGCAATATACACAAATGGCTATTCAGCCTTAGCAAGAACAACACCTATCTTATGTAAGTAACATGGACAAATCTGGAGGAGCTATGTTAGGCGAAATAAACCAAGCACAGAAAGGCAGATGCTGCATGATCGCACTCATACATAGACTCTAAATCCACCAAACTCATAGAAGTAAAGCATACAATAAGAATTATTTAGCAAGGACCAATGGGTGAGGTGGGGTGGGGAGACAGGTCAGGGATACAAAATTTCACCTAGTTACAAGGGATAAACTCAAGAGATCTATTATAAAACATGACTTTAATAACATATTGTATACTTGAAAATCACTAAGAAATTCTCAGTAGTCACCACAAAAATACAGTAAGATTTTATATATATTAGGCTTCACTTCTTATAATGTACACATACTTAAAGCATCAGTTATTTCAAATGGGTATAATTTTTGTCGATTACAAGTTTTAAGCTGGAGGCTGGTCGTTCATGCCTGTAATCCTAGCTATTTGGAGGCTGAGATTGGAGAATTGCAGTTCAAAGCCAACCTAGGCAGAAAAGTCCCTGTGAGACTCTTATCTCCAATAAACTTACGTGGCACTGTGGTTCAAGTGGTAGAGCACTAGCCTTGTGCACAAAGAGGCTCAGGGACAGCACCCCGCCCAGAGTTCAAACCCAAGACCAGCAAAAAAAATTAAAATAATAATAATGTTTATCTTGTTTTAACAGTTAATCATAAAATTGTGAGATGAACCAGCAGTTCCACTGAGATATATACCCGGAAGAATTGAAACGTCATGTTCAAGCAAAATGGTCACAGCAGTAACAGCCACAAAGTAGAAACATCCCCGACAATCAATGGATGAATGGAAAAAGAAATTGTGGCATATTCACACAACAGATTATTATTCTACCCTAAAATGGTATGCTGTTCTGATCCCTGCTATAATATGGATGATTCTTGAAGGGTCAAACACTGTATGTTTCTCTATATATGAAATGTCCACAATAGGAAAATCCAGAGAAAGTTACAGCAGTGGTTACCAAGGGCTGGGAGTGGTGTGGCAGCATCAGGGGAAAAACAGGAAGTGATCAGGTAGGAACTTTCCTCTCGGAATCATGATAATTGCACATGCGCTTAGAGCCACTGAACTGCACATTTTACAATGGTTAAAATGGAAAATTTTATGTTATGTATATTTTACCACAAAACAAACTCTCACAGTAATTTACACCCATCATTTCACACTAAGAAGAGCAAAGGGAGGTCATTCTGGTGGGGCATTAAAAAAAAAAGGGGAACCCACAGGTTACAGCAACTTGTCCTTTGGCAGCTAACTTTCCTCTTTCCGAGAACAAGAATGACTGTTATGAGGAATATAAGGTCAGACCCATCACCTTCCCAACTTCCACTTTTTATTGCTTTTTATTGCTGATGCTGCCAACATAAAAATGGTGCCACCATTCCCCAAGTATTAGCTGCCTAAAATGTCCACAATGCCAAGGCTGGGAAACCCTGGTCTACAGGCTGTTTTGTCAAACAGCTCCTGTTCTTCGCTCCCATCCCTGCGCTGCTGGCTAGCAGCCTTACTTACTTTGCAGTTTGTATACCACAGGGCGAGGATGAGGTTTCTCAAAGCCAGGTACATGGTGGGGTCTCGGGAGTATTCTGGAAACTCATAGAGCTCATCTAGTTCCATGACATCAGGCCTCACACAGAGGGCTTTGCCACACTCATTCGGCTGGTAGAAAGGCTGAAAGTACCGGTTCATGCCTGGAACTGATAGGTGATACAAGCTGTAGCTTCCAAAGCAAGGGGGGAAAAAAAGGGAGCAAAATCACACCCAAAAGAGCTGCCCAGACAAGCTCTATTGTCTACCCTGCACAAGTACTTCGGTTTTCATCTGAGTGGACAAAATATACATGAATTACACAAACATCTCCCCATTTTTTTCTTACAAGTCACTCACAATCTTAACCTTAATCTTAGACACAAAATTTTAACTGCACAAAAAAATATAAAATCTGACACCTCAAATATCTGCAAGTGTACCGCTCAGTAGTGTTACGTGTATTGATTGTCCAACAAATTTCTAAACTTTTTTTGGCAGTCCTAGGTTCAAATTTAGGGCCTCATTCTTGCTAGGCAGGCAATCTACCATTTGAGCCGTGCCTCCATTTCCCTGGTTAATTAGAGCTTATATTTCATGGACTTTTCTGCCTTGCTGGCTTCAAATCACCACTGGATACAGAAAGGTGAGGAAAAGCTAGCACACTGGAGGCTAATGCCCATAATCCCAGCTACACTAGAGGCTGAGATCTGAGGTTCAATTTGAAGCCAGTCTGGGCAGATTTATCTGTGTGACTCTCCAATTAGCCAGCAAAGAGCTGTACTGAAGGTGTGGTTCAAGTAGTAGAGTGCTAGTCATGAGTAAGAAAACCAAATGAGAATGTGAGGCCCTCAGCTCAAACCATAGTACCAACACACACATGCATACACACATTAAAAAAAAAAAAGATGGAGAGAGCAGAAAAGTACTGCGGATGTAGCAACTTCCTTCTTCTAAGTCAGAGTTCATAAAATCTTCCAACTATTGTTACTCAACTTTCAAATAAATACTCATGTGCTATATAGATAATTTATACCATATAAGTGACAGGAGTTATCCACAGTACATCTGACCCTTAGCATCCTTAAGGGAATTAGTTCTACCCACTGGATCATCAAAATCCATGCATGCTCAATTCCCTTGTATCAAATGGCTGGTATTTGGAAGAGAGCAAGAGAAGGGGGAACATTATCCAAAAAGAAATGTACCAATTATGCTGTACATCACCTTTATAATACAAAAAAAAAAACCCTAAAACAAAAACTGGCTAGTATTTACTATAACCTACTGTAGTTTCAAATAATCTGTTGTAGATGACTTATAATACCTAATATAATGTAAACACTTCTAGCATTGTTTCATTTAGGGAATATGAAGAGTAAGAAGTCTGTACATATGGTTCAGTACTGACGTAAGTTTTTTCCCTATTTTCTATGCATGATGGGTTGACTGTGCGGTGCAGAAGCCATGGACATGGAAGGCTGACTTGTAACAAAATGCAGGAAATGTCACACAAGTCACACGTGTCAATCTCTTTCATTCCTAAATTTCTGGGAAGGGGAAGAAAGGGGAAGGAGGAAGTACTAAAAGGACTCTCACCCAGTGCAGAGGGAGCCACCATGGAGGGTTCCAGTGTTGCTGGGCTGGCACTGTTGGTGGTGGAGGTAGTGGTGGTAGCGGCTGTGCGGTTTGTACTGGTGCAGGAGGGGCTCATGCCCACACAGTCAGGGTAGTAGGCAGAGAGCAGAGGCGCTGCCACACTGTCTTTCAGCAAAGGAGGCAGGATGAGCATGGAGTACCACCAAGTGTTGGAAACTTCTGACACTCTCTGAAATGTACCAGAAGAGGGAGAGGGAGAACCGCAGAGGAGAAAAGCACTTAAGACCTTGACAAAGACAGGTGAGGTTAGTACCTTTATTTCATTCATCCTTAGCTTTTACATTCTGCCTTCTCCCCGGATCAGACTGAACACACAGATTCAGAAAATCTGGCTTATGATACCTTGAAGCACTCTCTCCTAGGCAAGTTTCTTTCCAATAAATAGCAAGGGTCTCTCCCTACCAAAAAGTCTCCTCAGTGCCAGGTAAAGTCTTTACAACTGTACCCAAAGCTTATCTGCTCTTCTATCTAGCAACTCAAGACAGCTGAAACTTGGAAGTTAGGAGCCCCAACTGGCAGTCAAGTATTAATTACTGCTTTGTGCCAATGGCTATGGAAAAGGAAAGAAAAAAAAAACTGTCAGAGGGAAAAAGGACACAAGATGCCAACCATCAAACTGAACAAAAGAATCTACTTTCATTTTCAGATGTGTGATCACATTCAGGAGGTGACAACATAATAGAAGAACTGGATCAAAGCAACTCCGGATGACTACTAAAATAAAAATAAAATTCACCATGGCTTTTAGAGCTATCATAGAACCAAAGTGCCTCTATCAGCCACAGTCTTTGCTAATGCAGCCTTAAACATATGCTCCACCAATTCTTAGAACCTGATATGGAAGAAGTTTGAGCCCAGCTTCCCTGTGGCTAACTCTCCATGTCCCACACAAATGCCATCTGCCATCAAGCCAAAGTTGGGAGCAGATGTGTTTTGTTTGGGTTTTGGAGTCCAAATCTGGAACTGTTTTCAGTTTACTGTGAGTCCTAATATGATTACTTGCCTAGCCCTGACAGCATCTGTGTTTATAATCTCTGCCCTCTACACCTGCTTTCCGTTCCCTATCCCCAGGCCATGAAGTACAAAAATGGATGCTCCAGCTCCTTCCACAACCTCCTTCCCAGCTCAGTCCAAGCAAAGGGCAGACTATGTTTTCAGTTCCTGACATTTGGACTGGATTATGTAGACAGATCACTGGAGCTCTATAATCCAAGGTATTCAGGAGGCTGAGATCTGAGGATAGTAGTCCTAAGCCATCCTGGGCATGAAAGTCCATGACACTATCAGCCAATTAACCACCAAAAGGTTGGAAGTGAAGCTGTAGTTCAAGTGGTAGAGTGCTAGCCTTGAATGAAAAAGCTAAGGGACACCCCCTAGTATACCTCAGATTAAGCCTCAGTACTGGCACACACAAAAGAAAAAACAAGCTGTTCTTATTCCATTTCCTGGGTCACGTAGCTCAGTGGGTAAACCAAGACAAGTCTCAACAGAGGATTCTACCATTTTGCTATGACTGCCCGCCCCACCCCCATTCCTTCCTTGAAAGTCCATGTGAGGGTGCTGCAACCCAATCTTTGCATGCATAGGAATAACAAACTATGACAGATAATACTGCTTGTTCCTTTGAGTCTCAATCCTGGATACCTGCCTACCCTTGTCAACATGCCATCAAAAGTCCCACCCTCACCTTCAAGACATTTAAGCTGTTACTTGCCTTGCATGCCACTCTATAGCATATTTAATGAAATATGATGGCTTAGTGTTATTCCCAAGTTCATATTCACCCTGAACCTCAGATCATGACCTTATTTGGAGTTTGGCCTCTGTAATGAACTATGGTAAGGTCATACTGGAACAGAGAAGTGCTGGATTCACTATGCCTGGAGTCCTTAATACAGAATAGACCCAGGGAGAGCGGGGAGACAACACAGAAAAAAAGACACTGTGGTGATCAGGCAGAGATTGGAGGAGTAGGCATCTCTAGGCAAAGTCAACACTAGTGACTGCTGGCAACTGCCAAAAGCAGCAAGGCAGGACCTTCCTGCCAACCTTCAGAGGGAGTCTGGCTCTGCCTACACTTCAGACTACTGGTCTCCATTACAATGAGGGAACATTTCTGTTGTTTAAACCACCCAGTGCTGGGTAACTTGTTATAGTAGCTCTAAGAAGCCAAAACACTCAAAATTGTAGAAACTGCTCTACCCTTAGAATCTGTAAGGAATAGAAGGAAGGTGCAATGGCTTGATGACTAATCTGTACCAGACTCTTTTATCCCAATCCAAAAATATCTAGCACATGAACATGTAAGGACTCTTTCATGTTTTTTTTTCTAATTATTGGTTTGTGTTTTTTTGTTTTAATTTCCTAGGTTGCGGATGTAGCTCAGTGGTAAAGTTTGCCTAGTATACACAAGGCTCTAGGTTCATCTGTCTCATGAATATATAACCTCTGCCTTCAAGTTCAGATTCTCCTGGATGAAAAAGGGTCTCAATATTAAAAGCTGTATTTAAAGTCACATTTCCTTTCTATAATCTTACTCTACCAATCTTGAACCCAAAAAGCCATCAGGCCATTAAATTACTAATAAAATATAAATATATGCATGCACGTACACACACACACTCCATCCCTTTATAAACAAAATGGATTCAAGAAACAGATTTACTAGATATCAGCTCTCCCTTTGGTTCCTGAATTTGACATTACAAACCCAACTAATACTACTAAACCACTGAACCTCAAAGGAAGCACTTAGAACTCTGAATTTTTGAGACTCAAAACTGAGAAATTTTAAAAACTATTTTAAACTGGGACTGGCTAACATAGTACATGTTTGTTAGCCAACTTGGGTAGCCAAGTTTCCTGAAGATATCTGCAATATGACCAGGCTTTGCCAGCCAGACATAATGCATACCTTCTAAGTCTGGGCAGGGCCCTGCTGATGCTACTACCTAAAGAGAGAACGCACAGAGGACTCGCTGACTGGGGAATCTAAGCCAATCAAATGAGGACCCTGCTATCCTTTCCTTGGAAGGATTCATATAGAGAAAAGGTCACAAAGTCAACTTGAAAATCAAGTTCAGCAAGTCTGATCATTGCAAAGGAGAGGGAGAAGAGTATCTTCTTTATTTCAACACTTGAATGCTTTTATTATTCATAATATGCTACTCTCATAATGTAATTATCATGTTAAATTTAAAGTCTCTGGCAGCAACCAAATAGAAAAACACATGAAATGCTATTGTCATTTTACTTATCCATGTGGAAGGCACAATGAACTTGCTTAAGCAAGCAAAAATACTCACCAGATCTTCAGGGAGGGAGCAATGGTCTAGGCTCTCAGGCTGTAAAGTAAAGTAAATTCCTAGTTAGCTTTCTGCTTTTCTATGTGTGTGTGTGTGTATGTTTGTGTACATGCGTGCCCAGGACTCTGGGGCCAGGGGGCTCTTGCTTAGCTTTTTCACTCAAGGCTGATGCTCTACCACTTGAGTCACACCACTTTTTTTTTTAATTGAAGATAAGCATCTCATAGCCTTTTCTACCCAAGAGCATTTCTAGCCATGATCCTCAGATCTCAGCCTGAAGAGTAGCTAAGATTACAGGCATGGGCAAATAGCACTCAACAAAGTCCTAGTGAACTATATACCTGCATAATACAGTCCTAAGTGTTATTTCCTTTCAATATGATACTTCCTATTCACCTATTAAAGTCCCCAGAAGTCAGGAGGCTGAGGCAGAAGGATCCTGAGTTTGAGACCAACCTGGGCTATACAGACCTTGTCTCTAAAAATAGACAACATAAAATTTCAGAAATTATTTTTCTAAGGTTAAACACTGGCTGTGTGCCAGTGGTTCACGCCTGTAATCCTAGTTACTCAGGCGGCTGAGATCTGAGAACTGCAATTTGAAGCCAGTCAAGTTATATATTCAATTAGGGTAGAGTAAAAGACAGGAACAATTTTGGGTAAATTACAGCTTATTCAAAGCACAGGACAAAATGTAAAAATCACACCTGGAATTTAGTGACCTGGAATTATACAAATTTGTCTAAAGTCTTTTTTTCCCTAATCCTGGTGCTTGAACTCTGGGTCTGGGTGCTTTCCCTGAGCTTCATTAGCTCACGGCTAGCACTCTACCACCTAAGCCACAGCACCACTTCCGGCTTTTTCTGAGTAGTTTATTGGAGATAAGAGTCTCATGGACTTTCCTGCTTGGGATGGTTTAGAACCACGATCCTCAGATCACAGCCTCTTGAGTAGCTAGGATTACAGGCATGAGCCACTGAGACCCGGCTAAAATTTTTGATAAACTACACTGAACTAAAAACAAACAGATATAGTGTAAAAATGACTCTAAGGACAGACATGGTTTTCTGTAATTTTTGACTGCTGCTTGAAGTCTCCTTTAGTTATAATGAAATGCTACTGAACCTCCTTTTAACTTGAGAAGTAATCTAGTGCCTGGCTGCTAGTAAGTTCAGTGTTTCCACCGGCTGGACATGCTCCCCTGCCACAAAGTCCCAGTGTCTCCCTCACTCAGGCCCTTTGGCCACCCATACCGTCAGCCCCGCTTAGCCCTTTCCCGTTTCTCTTCTAGCTCTCAGAGGTCTTTCATCCTGAAAGGTGAGCTCAAGAATCAAAATCATGTATTCTCAAGCACACACACAAACATATGAGGTAATGCATATGCTTATTATCTCAAACCAGCTATACCAATTTTATGCAGCAAGCTCTTTGACAAGACAGAAATCAGGATATATTTTGTCCATTTTTTTTTTGGAGCCAGCATAACTGATAGCAGACTATAACAAGTATATTACAAGAAAACAGAGACAGATATTATATCATGAACACAAATGCTATAAGAATTAAAATTAGTGGGAAGGTGGTTCAGTGGTAGAGCACCTGCCTTGCATGCCTGAGGCCCTGGGTTCGATTCCTCAGCACCACATGAGCAAAAAGAAAAAAGCCGGAAGTGGCGCTGTGGCTCAAGTGGTAGAGCGCTAGCCTTGAGCTGAAGAGCTGAGGGACAGCGCCCAGACCCAGAGTTCAGGCCCCACGACCGGACCCCCCCCCCCAAAAAAAAAGAACTCTTAAAAATAAATCCTAGCAACATACCCAAAAGGACAGTCTGCTAGAAAAAAGTGAGAGTGAGAATGCAGAGTTGTTTCAACAATCTGAAATCAGTGTAATCCAGTCCTTTGGTAGAGTGTAACAAACAAGTTGAAAGTGAAGTTAAATCAAATTCTACTTGCAATAGCAGAAGGAAACAAATTTAACAAAAGACAGAAGGCACACCCTTAGTGAAACCTACTAGGTAGAATTTAAGTATGAGAAATGTTTTATGTTGAAGACTAAACAGTAAATAGTTTAACATCTATAAACAATATACTCTCCACCACAATTACTCTGCATTGTACTGAAAGCAGCCATGTATGCTACCATGTATAATGACATGGGACATTGGGACACAGGGATATGTCCCCATAAAACTTTATTAAAAAAGATAGACACAGGGACAAATCTGGACCATGAGCCATCATTTGCTGACAACCAGGTTAGAAGACTGAAAAATGTTTAATATGGTAATTCTCCAAATGACATACATTCATATATTTCAATCAAAATCTCAGGACTTTTAAGTAGATTCTGATAAAGTGGTAAAATGTATATGAAAGCATGAAAGACCCAGAACAGTTAAAATAACCTTGAAAAAGTTGGGAGGAATTTACACAACCTGATTAAGACTTAATATAGAGAAATCAATACAACCCAGTATTGGATAAGTATAAAGAGATCAATGAAATATAATTCAAACACATGTACATAAATGGTCAATTAATGTTTTTACAATAGTGTAAACATAATTCAAAGAACAATCTTTTCAATAAATACTGCACAGCTGTATTTTTTTCAAAAAGGAATTACATACTATATCTAACATAAAAGGTCCAATACCACAACAGATTAGTGACTTAAATGTACAGGTTAAAGGTATAAAACAACTCACAGACAGCACAAGATGTCTTGGCAAGATAAAAGGTAATCCAAAGTTTCTTTAAAAAGTTGTAATATAGGAGCTGGGAAGGTGGCTCAGTGGTAGAGCGCTTGCCTTGCATGCATGAAGTCCTGGGTTCGATTCCTCAGCACCACATAAGCAAAAAGAAAAAAGCTGGAAGTGGCGCTGTGGCTCAAGTGGTAGAGTGCTAGCCTTGAGCTGAAGAGCTGAGGGACAGCACCTAGGTCCAGAGTTCAGGCCCCACGACTTGACCCCCCCCCCCAAAAAAAAAGTTGTAATATAAAACCATGGATAAACAGGGCTTCCAAATTAAAAATTATTTTTTCATCAAAAAATGTATCAAGAAAATTAAAAACTAAATACAGACTAGGGAAAATAATCAAAATTATATATTCAGATCCAGATTACAGAATTTCTATAAAGCATTCAGACTTGATTTAAAATTTCTTCAGTAGGTATTTTCCAAACTATGAATGACCAATAATATATGAAGAAATGTTAAACCTTCACTAGTTATCAGGGAAACACAAATACCATACCTACTATAAAACCACCACAACATAAAACAACAAAGTGGTCTCTTGTTCAATCCTAGTGACTCACACCTGTAATCCTAGTTGCTCAGGAAACTGAGACCTGGAAGACTGAAATTCAAAGCCAGCCCTAACAGAAAAGTCCTAGAGTTTCTATTTCCAATTAATTGGCAAAATGCTCAGTAGGAAGCATGACTCAAGTGGTAGAGTACCAGCTGTGGGAAAGCAAGCCAAGAGCTCAAAGCCCTGAATTCAGCCCCAGAACTGGCACTTAAAAAAAAAAGCAAACCACAAAATGTAGTATAGTACACCAATCATAGAAAGCCAATAGGCATGAATTATAAACATGAATCCTAAGATTAAATAACTCTACTCCTCCATTTACTAACAAGAAATGAAAACAGGCCAAGCCACTAGTGACTCACAGTTGTAATCCTAGGTACTCAAGAAGTTGGTATCTTAGGATAGAGGTTCAAAGCCATCCTGGGCAGAATTATCCAAGAGAGTATCTCCCATTAACCAGCAACAAGCTGGAACTAGGTGTACCCCAGGTGGTAAAGCTCTAGCTGTGACTGGGAAAAGCCGAGCAAAGAGAATGAGGCGCAGAGTTATAGCCCTAGTTTCAGTGTATGCATACACAAACCCACAACTATCCTATTATATACTAACACAATACTCATTTTATTTTTCATAGTAAACTTTAAATATCAATTCCTAAATGTTCACATCTTTTCCTCATATTTCACTTCACAGAAATCTCCCAATTTTTTTCAGGGTTGAGGTTTAATCCCAGGACCTAACAAATGCTAGACAGGTATTCTCCTGAATTATATCCCCAGCCCAATAACATTAATATTTTAAACCCTAGGTTTTAAAAATGTGACCAATTATCTTATAAAACTTTCCACTTGGAGGGAGGGGGGCCAAGATGGCGATGGGACAGTAGGGAAACACAACTCTCTCCAACCAAATACAGAGTTCAAGTTCCAAAGCTTAATTTCCCCAAGAGACTGACAACAGCAAAAAAGATGAATACCCAGAGAAAAACAGGAGGAAAGAAGGGAGGGAGGGACGGAGGGAGGGAAAAGCCCAAAGACCCTTCCCCCAACCCTTGCTGGCTGCACAGCAACACACCAAACCATAGGCTGCCTGAGACCCCAGAGCCACAGTGGGTCATCTGCAGAATGCCAGCGCAGAAGACACCCAAGGTGTCGGTGCCAGACCCACTGATTGCAAACAGAGAAACCTCGGAGGCCGGAACCTACACAAAGACTCTTCCTCCACCCCTCACCAGAGCAGTGTTGCCCCATCCCACCAAAACCACTTGGCCTCACGGCCGAGGGGGGAGCCCCAGAACTACTAGCGTCTGTCCACAAAATGCCAATGTAGAAGACTACCAAGGTGATGATGCTGCCCCGAAGAGTGCAAACAGAGACAGAAACCTCAGAGCTCAGAACCTGCGCAAAGACCCCTCTCCCACCCCTCGGCAGGTGCGAAACACACCCACAGCACCGATCTGGATAGCATCAACAGAGGCAGAGACGGGGAGAAACAGACCCAGAGTGGCCACCACTCAGTCCAGCCCACAAGCACCTCAACCAAACACAGAGCACAGCGGCAACCAGTGATCTACATTGCACAGAAACAGCAATCTGCCACAGCACCGCTGGAAAGTTCCCAACTAGCTTCAGGAACCAAGACCAAGTACAGACTCTCTCAGCCAACCCAGGGCCACGAGCAAGCTTCATCAGTTGATCCAGGAACCAACCCAGAACCAAACAAAGACAGTCACC